GTTAGGACTGAATTGTCCCTGATATCTGCTCTCCATTATGGCGATATCTTGATGAAATCTTTCGCCGTGTTCATCACTAACGTCTCCAAGGTTACCTGGGAAAAATTCAATATGAGAGTGGAAAAAATGCAATTTCAAGGACATCCTTGTTCCCAATGCATGATAATTCTGAAGCATGGTTGTTACGATTTCTTTGTAGTTGTCAGCACGATAGTTCCAAGAAAATTCTTTGACACATTGACAAATGTTTCCCATGCTTTTTTCTCCAGTGGGTTCAATGTTTTGGTGAATTCGCTATCATTAACTAGTATACGAATTTGTGGTCCATTCAAGACACCTGCTTTCAACTTGGCTTCGGAAACCACACCACCTAGTTTCTGAGATAAGTATAGAGTCCCAGCACCGAATTGATCCATAGCTTTGATGAAATTTTTAGCCAAACCGAGCTTTAGATGCAGTGGAGGCAAAAATATCTTTTCTGGATCTGCAAGCGGATTGTGGGCACAGTTAAACCTTCCAGGCGCATCTCTTGGTCTTGTCGGCCAATCCTTTCTCACATAGTGCTCTGCATCAGCTCTGCTGTTCCACAAGCACAAAAAGCACATGTGCTTTGTGTAGCCACTCTGATGGCCCAGTAGTAAACTGATGACTTTGAGATCGCCACATATCTTCCACTGGTGTTTCTCATACTCTATAGCGGCCAACAGAATTTTCATTGTTTCATAGCTCTCAGTCATTTTTGTTGCGTGTGCTATTGGGACAGTTGGAAGCCGATTGCCATTGTGTAAAAGAACAGCTTTCAGAGAGTCTTTTCCTGAGTCTATAAACAGCCTCCAATCCTCTGTCTTGTATGTTTCAGACTTGCAGAGTTGTTGCATGAGAGATACTGCGTCCTCGCAATAACAAAGGTTGTTTGCCATCTTGAAAAATGCAGACAGCTGTCTATGTCGGTAACGCGCTGTAGTGATATGCACTCCATCTTCTAGCAGGTTACGCTGCTTTAGTCTGGATCCCAAAACTTCAGCCTTTTCTTTTGACAAGTTTAGGTCCCTGATGAGATCATGAAGCGCTTCTTGAGTAAATAGTTTAGGCCTGGTATTTTCAGAGTCATCCTGGTAGTCGTTTTCCATTGAGATAAAGGTAGAATCGGAATCACTCAATTCTTGTTCAGTCGGTGGATTTGGGACTGGAAGTTCAGCACTGTGCGGTACTGGTCGGATTGCAGAAGCAATATTGGGGTACTGTACCTTGCCTCGTGTCTTGATTTTTATTCCCTTAATATTTGTGAGACAGAAGTAGCAGTCACTACTATGGTCTTTAGGTTCACGCCATATCATTGGTACAGCAAACGGCATTCCTGAACTTCGTTTACCACACATCCACTCGCTCAGGTGGTTAACACAAGACTTACAGGCTACATGAGGTGCCCATTTCTTGTCTTGGTCACCCAAATGACATTTGAAGTAACTTTTGTAGTTCAGTCGAACAGCTTTTGTGATTGGTTTCTTGAGGCTACCAGGAGTGAAGGCACCACATATGTAGCAAAAACTGTCAGCACCGTTCACACACTTGCGACGTTCCATGTTTTGTTAATTTCAGAGTAATTACAAATCATGCAGGTGTAGATATGCAATATCATGAATCAGCAAACTGAAACAAACAAAAAAGCACAAATCTGGACAAAATAATTTTATAAGTGGAGCCAATGAGCATATAAATTACTGTATGAGTAGCATGGTACACTAAATATATAGATATGCTGGTTCTGGAAAACTGAGCCTGATACAGCTATACAAATGTCATAATTGAGTTCAGCACATACAATTACACTAGAATCAGACTGTTTTGATCCAGAACCATGAGAATTTTTTTGTTGTTGACCAGTGTTATATCTGATCCTTAGGAGGCAGTCACAGATGGTGAAGGCCTTGCCTTGGTTGACGATATATTGGTTCTTTTTTAGAATACTCGAAAGGCAAAGGCTTGTCTGTGGCCAGGTATAACATATTGAATGTCTTATATTCCCACAGTCCTCCCAAAAATAAGTGATATAGGAAAAAACTAGCAAAATATTACAAGGAAACACGGGGGGGGGGCATTTCGCTGATGACATGGACGAAGACGAAGCAACTCAAGTTTTGAGCTGATTAGCAGTGCAAAGATTTTCGTTTTGCCAGACATGGCAAGGTGAATGTCTGAAGGTAGGCCTGCTCTGGACAATTGGATATTGCTTTACAATGTACACTAAGAAAATAGAGCAAGTTTCTCTAGGCATTAAGCATTACGACCGTCGCCGGTGAAAAGTGATCTCTGGTTTTATCTTATATTTTGGGCAATATAATTGTTTTCTTTTGTCATATGTGGCAAGAACAATGCCCCACTGTCTTCACTGTCTTCTGACCTGATATTGACTAACACTGAAGAATTAAAAAGCTGAAACCCAAGAACCGATGCACTTAACTTTCCTTTTTTAAGATTAATAAATATGTTCAGAGATTTTTGGGGCTACTTATAGCATGATGAATGTTTCATCTTCCTGGACGTCAACATACATTTGAGAATTAAGAAGATACAAAAGAAATATGAACTCTCTTCAAACAAGTTATCGGCTAGCTTAATGTAGTGTTTATTTTATCGGAGCGCTTGCAGGCATTTATCCATGTATCACAAGTTTTCTTATCTCTGGGAAATGTGTAATACCTGTTGTGCTCTCTGCTTGGGATTTGAACATTACTGGTGCACCCGTATATTGGACAAATAACCATAATTGTTGATACACTGGTCCAGGGAGCAGACACGGCATGTTTACAACAGTGATAATAACCGAGCTGTGCATTGTAGATAAAACAAGTGCTTGGTAAACTGTCCATATTAGTATTTTATCCTTGAGCACAACCACCGTTTGGGGTTCACTGAGGCTCTTTCTTGGGCATGGCCATGTCATGTCTTGTGTTCATGAAAGTCATGCTGACCTCACCTGACAGCATAAATGGAATCAACCTGGCGCTGGTACCGTTCACATAAAAGTATCAGTGACATTAGAAGCGATACGAGAAGGGACTGATATGGGTCAGGTCAGGGCTATAGTCCTTGGTGGAGTGCAGCACTAGGCGGCAACTGGGGCCATCAGCAAAGCTTTGTTTTCGGTAATAAATCGATCTGGGGGTGGGGGGGGGGTAGTTCTTGGTGAGCCCCATAATGGCCTAGAAAGGTCTCCAAGAATGTTCCAGCCTTAGACTTGAAAAACGGTTTCAAGGCTGTTTCAGATATCGAGACCTATACATCACTGTTGTGTGCGGGCGTGTATGCTCGTTCGGTCATATTGTAAATGCGATAACTTAATAAAATTTCAGTGAATTTTGATGAAACTTGGTGAATGGTTGTAAACCAGCATGGTTTGAGACGATTTGAGATGTAACGCAGAACCCTTATGATTAACTTTTACTAACAGAAAAGGAAATGGCAGGAGAGAGACTGAAACTATTATGCACAAAATGTAATGAAAGTATACAAAACGAGCCTTATTGATTAATTTGTTTCCTATTAATTCACTGAAACCTTCAGCTAAACAAACCCACCAAGCCAGTCTATACTAAGCTTACACACCAAATTGATCTTAAGTGTCTTCACTCCCCATTAAAATTCATCATCATATTTCAGCCGGTCACTTAACCAACTGATTCAAAGAGCTCATGTTAGGAAGTCTAGTATTCAGAGTTATCCGACTGATGCTACTATTCTCATCCAAGCTGGTCATTTGGTTACCTAACTGACCCAAGTACCACTTCTCGGCTGGTCAGTTAGTTAACCAGCTGGTGCCAGTAGCTTATCTCAGCTGGTCACTTAGCCATGGTTTGCTTAAGGCCTCGACAACACAGCTGATCTTATACCCCACTTAACTAATATCAATAGCGGCACTTTTAAACTGAGATAAGTCGGCATTTCTACCACCACAGTGTTGACGTGCGGAAATTTAAGTGATTAAATGGACAAAATACTGCTTCTGTGCCTACATGTGTACAGGATATGTTGCTAATGTTTATATTTGCATACAGGAGACATTAATAGTGTGTTTATGTGTGTATGCAGTAGCTGTAAATAATGTGTGTGTGTGTGTGTGTGTGTGTGTATTTTACGTAAGATATGTTCCTAATAAATGGATATAATAATGATAAAATATATTTGTGGTGGGATACTGCACTATGGGGCGCTGTCAAGGATGACGAGACACAGTCTACGCCTTTACCATTATGTTTGCGATTGACGTCACAAGAACAGACTAGTCCTTTAGGGTAATTTCTGCCGGTACCTTAAGACCTTCAGTGCGATGACTTGATTCATTGAGTTCTGCGAAATAACCTCTAGACGGTTATGTTTACCCTTTGAGTACCATGTCTTAATCCGCTGAATATGATTATTTCAACCCTTTTAGTACAAGTGCCATCTTATTTAAAAGTCCAAATTATCGTACTCAGCGAATTTAAAAGGCATAGTTATTGCAATTAAAGAGCTCAGAGCTAGGCAACATACAATTTAATACTCGCAAAATGACGTTGGAGTGTGACGTCATAGTGAAAAACTACAATTTCTCCCTTTACATGAAAATATCAACAGCATATAATACTCATCCATTTGATGTCGCAGAAGCGTAATGTTACCTCAATGGGATTAATCAGTGTACGAGATTTGTTCCCCAGAATTGATTCATTATTTGATTACAAAATCTCCCCCTTTTGTCAGTTTCAAACGTCGAACAGGACTTTCAGTTTACAGTATCTTTTGCTCACAAAAAATGTTTAACTTTTTATTTTTGTATCATGTTTATCTTTCCTTCCAGCTATTTTTACAGTAAATGACAGAAAGTCACATGTAGATCCTGCTCACTGTGGTAGCAAGGCTGATGGGTATTAGTCGACTAGAAATTCAGGTCGGAGATAAGGTGCTTCCTGTGCGACTCACACAGTGCCTTGGTTGTCCGCTCTAGTGCTGTTGACGCCCTCAACCTGGTGAGCCGCCAGTGTATCCCCAGGAGAGTACACGCTGAGAGGATAGTGTTAGCGGAGGACAGAGTTAGTAGAGAACGGTGTTAGTGGAGGACAGTGTTAGTAGAAAACGGTGTTAGCGGAGAACAGTGTTAGCAGAGAACGGCGTTAGCAGAGGAGAGTGTTAGAAGTGAACGTTGTTAGCAGAGGACAGTGTTAGCAGAAAATGATGTTAGCGAAGGACAGTGTTAGCAGAGAATGGTGTTAGCAGAGGACAGTGTTAACGGAAGATCAAATTAACAGAGAAAGGTGATAGCAGAGGACAATTTTAGCAGAGAACGGTGTTGGAACAGTGCTAACGGAGGACAGTGTTAGCAGAGGACAGTATTTACAAAGGACATTGTTAGCAGAGGACAGTGTTAGCAGGGGACAATGTTAGTGGAGGACAGTGTTAGCAGAGGACAATGTTAGCAGGGGACATTATTAGTGGAGGACAGAGTTAGCAGAGGACAGTGTTAGCAGAGGACAGTGTTAGCAGAGGACAGTGTTAGCAGAGTTCGGTGTTAGCGGAAAAAAGTGCTGTACACGATGATGACAATGTGATGAAAGCGACTAAATTAAGTCAGTGACTAACTGTAGAGTGACTAACTGCAGAGTGATTAACTGAAGAGTGACTGTTGGCAGATAGTGACTGACTACACAGGATTGTTAACTGCAGTGAGGGTATAATTGCATTGCATGAGTGATTTACTATCAGGAGTGACTGACTTCTGTGAATGACTAACTGCAGATAGTGAGTAATTGCAGGAATTGGCCAGCCGCCAAAAGCAGCACAGGAAATGCCATGGCCACGTGAAAGGACATGGCTGACGACACGTGTGAGATCCTAGTAGAAAAGTTTAAACTCCCGCTCTGGAATTCACTGATACAAATGACTTTATCCCTGATCCTGGTGGCTGAATCTGGCATCACCATTTACGTCAATTGTCGTAGCCTCAAGTTGAGAGAGAAGACGTCCACTAAGCTAGTCACCAGCCTAGCTGTGAGTAGCGGCCTCAGCGGTTTTCTTGTGTTCATCTTGATGGTGGTGAAGCTGATCCCCATGGCGCCGAAGAAGAGTATTAACGAATATCTCCTCGAACTCCTTATTATCGCTCCTCGTACCTTGCATCTCATCTCCGTTTTGTTTTTGTGTTGCCTGACGTTAGACCGCTACCTCGCCATCTGCTGGCCTCTGCGATACCACGACCTGATGACGGAGTCCCGCTGTAGGCTCCTTGTGATGGGATGTTGGCTGCTCACATTGATGGTGGTGTGTGTATTGAATGTTTGCGTTTTCTTGCTTTCAAAGTGCAAAAATTCCTTAGATAACTTATTTTTCTTCATCACCTTCTACCTCCTGACGTTCACTCTGGCCATCATCGCCATAATGGGCATGTACTTCCTCATAGCAAGGGAGTTCTGGCGAAAGCGCCACCAGACATCGGAAGTCACTAAGGCTATGCAGGACGATATCAAACGCCTCAGGGAGAAAACAACACGAGATGTCTTGGTCATCGTCCTGCTCAACTTGATCTTCGCCTCCCCTGACGTGAGTATGACGGCTGAAGCTTTACAAGCCCCTCCCTCATTCAGTCTACAATGTCTCCCTCAATTCACTCATTAATTCTTATAATCTCTTTTTAACCCCTCCCTTCTTCAGTCTTACAATCACTCCCTCTCCCCTCCCTGAATCAATCTTCCAGTTTCTCCCAATGGTGTGGTGGCTTTTTGGTTTAATAACAGAGTGGTATAATTCCTTTGTAAGGTCAAGTCTTATCCTTCAAAATGTATACCACCACGCAGTTAGATTATTGAAGTAAGGAGTTAAGCAATCACATTCAAAGGATTATTAAACTAAGACATAATGCGTGGGAAATATGCGTTAGGAGAGTAAACTAAGAACTTGGTCATAGATTGCGTAAAATGAATATCCACCAGTCAGTTCAGGAGTCATCGACATTGGCTGACTAAACATGGTAACAAAAAATGAAACAAATTAAGATGAAAATACATTTGCATGACTAGTGAGGATATCTGGCTCGGGGGGGGGGGTCTGTTTCTTCACCTAACGAGAAGATAAAGAATAAAATAGAAGAGAAATAGTTATTGTTAACAAAACTGCCACTCATTTGGCCAGTGGCAATGTAGTGTCCGCTGGCTACAGAAAGGCTATCGAGGAGCACTTCACTGACAAACGTCTACCATTAGATCAGTCAGGAAAGGCGGGCTTAGCCTTGACTATGCCACCAAAATAAACATTAGTTAGAAGACAGTCATTAAAATATATGGCAAAAATATCTGTGGCTGGGAGAAAATAGGGGAAAACATCATCCAGAAAACAGCCGTCAGTCAGTCAGGCAGTCAGTCAGTCAGTCAGTAAGGATAGGAGTTGACTACACCTCCAAAAAATATAGTCGATTTCATGAGATGGCAGGGATAACTCTGTCTCAGGAAGCAGGAGGAGCACAACACTGCCGTCCGAGAATGTGTGAGATCACGGGGGCAGATTACCGGACGTTGGGCGGAGAGTGAGACTAAGGAACGAGTTGTTGCTTGCCCATGTTGTTGGGGAGAAATGCTGTGTCACGTGTTGTTAGGAACAATCGGTGTGTGCAAGTGTGCTTGAAAGGAATTGCTGTGTGCATATGTGCTTGGGAAAAGTCATTGTGTACACTTAGGCTTCGGGAGAGTTGCTGTGTACACCTATATTTGGGGAGAAATACTATGTGCACGTGTTGTTGGGAGGGTTACTGCATGTACTTGTGCTTGGGGAGGGTTCTTGTGTGCACATGTGCTTGGGGAGAGTTGTTTTGTGCACGTGCTGTTGGGAAGGGTTAATGTGTGTACGTGTGCTTGGGGAGAGTTAACATAAGACCATAAGAACATAAGAATGGAGGAAACTGCAGCGGGCCTATTGGCCCATACTGGGCAGTCCGGTTTACACCCAACCCCTATTCCTCATATAAGCATCCAACCTATGTTTGAAGCTATTCAGCATATTCGAGTTAATGATGATATTTGGTAACTTGTTCCATTCATCCACTACTCTGATTCCAAACCAGTGTTTACCTATTTCACGCCTAAATCTAAATTTGTCTAATTTAAAACCATTGTTACGAGTTCGCTCCTGGTTGGATAGTTTGAGTACCTTTGTAATGTCCCATTTGTTTAGCCCTGCCTTCCACTTATACACCTCTATCAGGTCGCCCCTCGCTCTACGTCTCTCGAGGGAGTGCAAATTAAGATGCTTTAACCTGTCTCTATACTCAAGGTTCCTAATGCCCTGGATTAATCTTGTCATTCTCCTCTGAATTCTTTCCAAGGATTCTATATCCATTCTGTAATACGGTGACCAGAACTGAACTGCGTAATCCAGGTGTGGTCTCACAAGAGCAAGATACAGTTTTAGGATGACCTCGCTAGTCTTGTAAACTAACTCTCCTGTGTATGAACCCAAGTACTTTATTGGCCTTGTTACGAGCAAAAACACATTGTTTACTTGGCTTAAGGTTCCTTCTTATCATTACTCCTAAAGCTCTCTCGCAGTCAGATTTTTATATGGCATCGTTCTTCATCTGGTATCTAGTTCCCTGTTTACCTCTCCTATACTGAGTACTTACATTTGTTCACGTTGAATATCATCTGCCATTTTTCAGACCATTCGAAAAATTTGTTTAGATCTTCCTGTAGTTTTGTAGAGTCCTCGTCAGATTTAATAACACGTCCTATTTTAGTGTCATCAGCAAATTTGCTTATGTTGCTGTCTATGCCGATATCTATGTCGTTTATGTATATAATAAATAATAATGGTCCAAATACTGAACCTTGGGGAACTCCACTTGTGACGTTGCTCCAATGGGACTTAGTGCCATTAATGCTCACTCGCTGTTTCCTGTCCTGTAACCACACCCTAATCCATTTAAGGATATTACCTTTGCTGCCATGTGCTTCTACCTTTCTAATTAGTCTTTCGTGGGGGACTCTGTCGAAGGCTTTGCTAAAGTCGAGATATACCACATCATAATTGTGCCCCTCGTCCACCGATTCGAAAACTGATGAAAAGAATGTTAATAGATTACTTAGACATGAACGTCCGCTTGTGAAGCCATGCTGGGAATCATTGATCAATCGGTGCTTCTCCAGGTGATTTCGAATAGAGTTTGAAATGATTACTTCCAGTAATTTGCCTACTATTGATGTTAGACTGATTGGGCGGTAGTTAGAGGATAGTGATCTATCCCCCTTCTTGAAAATCGGTATTACATTCGATATCCTCCAGGATTCTGGTACTACACCTGTTTTTAAGGACATGTTAAACAACTTTGCTAAGGGCATACTAAGCTCTTCCTTACATTCCTTTAATATTCTGGCAAATATCTCATCGGGACCAGGTGACTTATTAGGCTTTAGTTTGTCTATTTGCTTTCTAACAACGTTACTATTCACTACTATCTCGCTTAATTTGTTTTCTTCACTATCTCTGAATAAAGTCTGTGCCCCGGGTATCATGTTTAAATTTTCGGTGGTGAAAACTGTTGAAAAATATTTATTCAAATCATTGCTCATTTCTCTTTCGTTATCAGTGAGCTCGTCGGTGTCTGACCCTATTGGTCCAATCTTTTCTCGTGTTTTAGTTTGATACATTTGGTAGAATCCTTTGGGGTTTGTCTTCGCCTCCCTTGCTATCCTTACCTCATTATTCCTCTTGGCTTTCCTTATCTCGGTTTTAACCCTACTCGCCAATACCCTATAATAATCCCGGAGGTGAATTTCGCCACGATTTATCCTTCTACCTATAGCCTTCCTTTGGCCAATGATGTTCTTTAAATAATTATTTATCCATTTAGGGTCATTGTTGTCTGATCTGAGTTTGTTGTATGGAATGTTCTGCCTTTGTGCATTAAGTAACTCACTATTTAAATTGTCGTAGAACATGCAATCTCAGATCTCGTTATCAGGTCGGTGTCATCTGTCAGGTTCATGGCCAAGCGTGACACCCCCTCTCTCAGCTGCCTCTTTAAACTGTCAAAGTTTGCCCTTCTGAAATCTGGTACTTTAGTGGAATTTTCCTTACGTCTGCCCTGAAAATCTAACTGGAATCTAATTTCTTTGTGATCTCTGTTTGCAAATTCGTTCCCTACCTCGACATTGCTAATAAGGTTTTCTCTGTTCAACAGAACTAAATCGAGTATATTGTGACCCCGGGTGGGTTCGGTTATATGTTGACTTAGGAAACAGTCCTGGATCGTCTCGAGAAAATCCTCTGATTCTGAGTTACCCGTAAGGTCAGTCCAATCTATTTGGCCAAGGTTAAAGTCGCCTACTATACAGACTTTGTTGTGTATGGAAGCCCTTCTCATTTCATTAGAGATAAGTCGCTCATTGACTCTATCAAGATTGGGAGGTCTATATATTACTCCTGTGATTAATTTTTCCCTACCGTCGATTAATTCTATCCAAATTGTTTCTGTATTCCGCTCAGTTTTTATTTCCTTATATATTTCACACTTCAGATTATCCCTAACATAGATTGCTACTCCGCCTCCTTTCCTGGTCTGCCTATAGGTATGGAACAGTTTGTAACCCGCAATTTGGTATTCGACCGGCAACTCACGTGTGTCTAGGTTGATCCATGCTTCAGTGAATGCTATTATATCGATTTTTTCGGTACATACCAAGGCCCTAATATCATCCATTTTGTTTCTCATACTTCTACTGTTCTCGTAGTATACATTTAAGTTAGTCGTGTTCTGAGTCCTCCCCTTACCGCGTTTAGTTTTAAACTCCCTGTCTAATTTAGTTTTGTCATCATTCCTAACACTATTTCCCTGTAATCTTTCACTTTGTGTGCACGTGTTGTTGGGGAGAGTTGTTGAGTTCATGTGGTGTTACGGAGCGTCACTCTGTACATGAGTGCTTGGGGAGACTTGTTGTATGTACGTGTGCTTGGGGAGAGTTGCTCTATATACGCGTGGTCGTGTGGGTGAGTGTTGTGGGGTGGATGATTTTGGTGATGTGGGTGAATGTTGTGGTGTGGGTGAGTGTGGTGATGTGGGTGTGTGTTGTGGTGTGGGTGAGTGTGTTGATTTCGGTTAGTGTGGTTGAGTGGGTGAATGTTTTGGTGTGGGTGATTGTGGTGATGTGGGTAATTGTGGTGGTGTGGGTGAGTGTGGTGATATGGGTGAGTGTTGTGGTGTGGGTGAGTGTGTTGATGTGGGTAAGTGTGATTGAGTGGGTGAGTGTTGTGGTGTGGGTGATTGTGGTGATGTGGGTGAGTGTGGTGCTGTGGTGAGTGTTGCGGTGTGGGTGAGTGTTTTGGTGTGGGTGATTGTGGTGATGTGGATAATTGAGGTGGTGTGGGTGATTGTTGTGGTGTGGGTGATTGTGGTGATCTGGGTAATTGTGGTGGTGTGGGTGAGTGTGATGATGTGGGTGAGTGTGGTGAGGGATGTGATGTAGGTAAGTGAGTTGGTGTGGGTGAATGTTGTGGTGTGGGTCAGTGTGGTAATGTGGACAAGTGTGGTGGTGTGGGCGAGTGTGGTGGTGTGA